AATATATATATATATATATATATTATAAGATGGTAAATTAGAAGTATTTGATTTTTAAGATATATATACATAATGCTACAATAAGACATTTAGAAATTTATATTGTGTGCTAATTAAAAATGGCAGTCATATTTTCATTCAACCTTATATTAAGTGGTGTAGTACAATGAGTATGGTTCTTTGTGTTGTTTTACAATGATAGGTAAAATAACATACTTTGCTGTCAATACAAGTAAGCTACTTGCACAAAGATTGTTCTTATTAGTTGAAGAGTGCATATAAAACAGCATTTATATAATTTAAAGAAGTATTTAACTTGTATATCTTACGTGTTTGATAGAAAATTTAGATAATTAATTAGATAAATCATTTAAAAATTAATTATCTTCAGAACATAAACTTTATTTTTATGATGTGAATCTGTATTTTGTAATTAAACAAACATTTTCAGTTCATGAACAAGTTTATTTAGGGTTTGTATCTGTTCTAGTACCAAGAATAATGTATCCTATGATTGCTTAACTTTATACATTCAACATTGAAATTCCTTTTTTAAATTTATAAAGCCTTATTCTAAATTGTAAACATATAGCCAAGCCTTTGTTCATTAACACCTGGCATGGTTTGACAAGTTGCAGCTGTAGTGGCATTATAATAATAAGTCAATCTCACTATTTATTGGTGAAGATATCCTAGTTGACTAGCTGCCTTTTATGTAGTATAGCCCTGAAGTGGTTTTATGCAAATTAAACAAACATGATATCCATTGTCATGAATTTTAATTTAACAATTAATTGTATCCTCAGTATTAAACTTATTCACAGTCAATGGTCAATACAAAATCTTCCATATAAGCACATAGCCTATAGCATCAGTTGAAGAAAATAATTATTTTGAATTTAGTAGGAAGAATAATACTTTGCAATAGATTTTTAAAGAATTATTCTTTAATTGTAGTCAGTGTTACAATAGTGATAATGATAGTTTGTGCATGTGTATAATTTTTTTTTAAATAACCAACCTTAAGGTAATTTCATGTTTATTATTTTCTATATCTACATTTTATAGCAAAGATAAATATTCAACTAAGTAACCTTTTTAAATTATTGTTAATGTCTTCAGAAAATTTATTCAAGGTAGAAAATAAATTTAATATAACCAAAAAGTCGCATAGCTAAAATAAATCATCAAATGTATAATTTCTGTGAGTTATTATATGTTGAACTTTTTAAAATGTAAAAGAACAAACTTTATAAATGACTAAAACTATAAAATTAAGAAATCAAATTCAATAAAACAAATTTTGTTTTTTATTACCAAAAGCACCACATAAAAGTAGGAAAAGGAAAGGTTATTATGCATATAATTAGAAATAAGTGTACCCTACATACATATTTTTACCACAGAATACTCTGTCAGAGTAAAACTTTCTTTTTAGCTAGGTTATAAGTATGGCTAAATGTAATTGGATAAACATGTATTTAACTGAGCATTTCTTAAATTCCTAATTCAGATACAAGGGCTTGATCTATTGAAAAAACTGAAGTTTTAACTTATTGTGGGCCTAATTAGTATAAAAACTTTTAAAATTTATGAACAATTTTTTCCTGAACCTAAATTAACTTTTTCTAAACAAAATAATAAATACTATTAAAAATTACCTCTTCCTTATAGCTTATGATGAATTAGGATTGCATAGTCTCAAATTTATAAGACTTTTCATGAAATCTTGCACTTTTTTAATCTTCAAAACTGATGCATTGTTGAAATTTTAAAGCTTTTCAGTAAATATGGTGTGGTAGGTTTGCACATATAATTTATTTCATTAAAATATCAAAGTAAAAGAATGGGCTTTATTAATATCTACATACATCTTTTTTACTGAAGTATAGCAACTGATGGCTTGGCATCGTCCCAGGATAAGATGTTTAGTAGAAGCTGGCTGTGACATCCTTGCTTTTGAAACCATTCCTGCTGCTAAGGAAGGAATTGCATTATTGAAGCTGCTCAATGAATTTCCTGAAGCAAAAGCTTGGCTGAGCTTTAGTTGTCAGGTGCTACAGACTTTTTATAGATCAAGATTATCTGTTAGTGTAATAAGATTTGTTATGAAACAGACTTATTGGGTTCAAATAATTTGAAAAGTGTAATATTCAGTACAAACAATATTCTGCATTTTTTCTCCATATTAAATTTCATTAGTACTTACCACATACAGTACAATACACAAACTGCAGCATAATAAGGGAAATACACTGGGCTATGCAAAACAATAGTGTAAATCTCAAATCAGTTATCACTTTTTGTGTAACAACTTATTTGTTCATATCAAGTGATGGATCTGTATATCTATATGTACTACAAATGTTGTATTAGTTTTAATTTTTTGGTTGTATATGCTTTTTTTGTAGCCGAACTCTTTCTTTTCACATCCATAAATTATATAAAATGAGAATATTAATTCATTTTATCTCTGTAAATTAGAATTATAAGAAATATTAATAAAATACCATTCCACAACTTTGATTTCAAAAGTTAGTACAAACTTTATTTTAAAATATCTTTGTTAAAATTCAATATTTTCTTTAAAAATGTGTACACAATTTTTGAAAGCTCAGTGGATGCAGTTTGTTTTTTGTGAAGTAATTTTTATACATATGCCTAAAAAAGATTGCAGAAATAATCAATAAATTAATATTAAACTTCATGTATCTAGGATCCCCATAAACTTGCTCATCAGGAAAGTTTGGAAGCATCTGTAAAGTCATGTCTTGCTGTGGCACCACAACATCAGCTTCTAGCTATAGGGGTTAACTGTTGTCCACCACAGTATGTTCAGTCTCTGTTGTCAGACATCCAGTTAGTGCGACAAAAATTACCACTTTTAGCTTATCCAAATAGTGGAGAAAAGTGGGAAGCTCAGAAAGGGTAAGAATATTATTAGAATTAGCATTTGGAGCCAAACTTAATTTTTTTGTTCATGTTATTTCTCATCTTTCTTCTTGAGTGATTCATTAAAGTAAGCTTGGTATCAAAATATAAGTGTAATTTGTTGCAACACTTCAATGTTAATAGAGTTCATATATTGGACATTGTTAGGATGTGTAAGAAATATTTTTATTCTTTGTATGTTAGAGGATTATGTGACATATAATGTTTTGTCTCTACAACTTGCATGCAGGTGGTTGATTAGGTTTTTACCTAGTCTGTGAGAAAGGGATGACACATGTCAAAAATAAGTCTCCAAGTGAAAATTCATAGTTTGTGACATTTTAAAGTCCCACAGACTGCTATACAGCAAAAATTAATCTGCTACAACCCACAGTGGCACAGCAACTTACAATAAGCAAATAAGTATTATTGGAATAAAGAGAGTACATGTATCACATCTGCAGAATCACCAAAAGCTTCATGGCACAGATCCTTTTATTAACCTATAGACAGTTTACTTGCTGCTAATTTCTGGAGGTTGGAAACATACATCTCGCTTCGTATTAAATAAAACAAGCTTTTTTTCCTTCATGTTTGGACTGTATTTTATATAAAATAGTGACTTTTTTATTCACCATGTGTGAATGCTGGAGCTTTTAAAGCAAATCACTTGGGCTTTAAGGTTTCTCTACTAGGGAACAGTAGTATCAACAGCAATTGTGACTGTAATATGAAAGTTGTGTTTATGACAATTTGTTTCAATAGGCTAAATTAATATAGCAATATAAAGTGCAAGAAATGTTAACAATACTATTGTTTTTGTGTAAAATTGGAGACTATTATCCCAATTTCTAGAAGGTAATACCATCTGACAAGGCTCATCATTCAAATTCAAAATTATTTTTAACATCTATATTTTAGTGAGTAAATCTCTTAAGTTTTTTTCAACCAACTTCACCAAATAATACTAGATACTAGTTTGTATGTATACTTTCCTTCTCATCTTCAGCTGGACAAGTAAGTGTGAAAGCCAGCCCATACATTACTTCTTAGAAGACTGGATTGACTTGGGTGTTCATTACATTGGAGGTTGTTGTAGAACCACTCCATATCACATCCGAAACATTGCAGAAACTCTTCAGACACTAGCCAGCAAAACTTGAAATATTTCCATGACTGTTGTAGTTATTTGTGTAAATTAATAATTAAATTTAATTCTTTTGTCTAAAGACAGTGATGCATTACTAATATATTGCCAATAAATTGGCATCATCCCTATTTTTGAACAGTGAGTGTAAGGTGAACTAATATGAAGTGGTAATTAATGCTGATACTTATTATTGTATTAAAATAAGTTACAGAAACAGATTTATTATCAAAAATAGTGTTCACAACAGCAATGGATTTGTTTTTGTAGTTTTTAACATGGAAAATGTTAAGTGCAAAAAGAATGAAGGTTTGAATCTGTATCTCCTGGAAAAGTAGGCAATAAACTAAAATATGAACTGTACCCGTCTTATAGAATTGTTAATAGCAACATTTTGTAATAATACTGTGGAAAAAACTTTCCCACGAAGGACTGATATTATTAGATACATAATTTGTTTTAATTTTAGCATGAATTGGGAAGTCTTGCATATTTAGAAGAGAACATTCCTCAAAGAAAATGTACGTTACCTTAGAAATAGTTTTCAGACATTTATGGTAAAATTATTAAATCTGATTTGTATCTGTGACAGTCTTGTGTGGTTATGACATAAGTGGAAAGACCTGAAATACTTGTTGCAATACATGTGACACACAAACAAACAGTCACAAAAATTAGAACTCTTTTTTAATGATCTTTATGTACAACTGAAGGAAACACTATATAGAAATCAGAATTCTTTACAACTAAACATGAGCTTTGAAAGTATTCAACCTCCAATAATGTAAGTATAGAATTTAATTTACAATCTTCTAACTACAATATTAAACAAGACAATCCTCACACAGCTGCTCAACAATCTAAAAAAGAAGATATACATTGTACAGGGTGTACATGCATTTCATACTGTTTATCATCATCATAACTGTACTATCGTAGAAGTTCTAGTTAAAACTTTTCACACTTGTGACTGCTGCACAAATGGCACCAAAATCTTTCATAATAAATTACCTATGAAAGAAATTCACAATTCTAAACATAATACATAAAAATTGAAATATCAAAGCTATTTTTAAAATGTAATGTGTGTATTGTTGTTTCAAAATGGCATATAATGGAAAATGCCTAATTTATCATAACATCTAAATTTACTAGAATAAGCTTAAAACATTCATTTCCAGACAAACTTTGTACTTGAAAAAATCTAAAACATTTCTAAGAACACTAGTTTGGTAATAATCTGTTTAAAATTTCTGTCATATGCTCAACAATGTTTTGTTTAATACAAACACCCCAAAAGTGAAATTATTCTTTTTAACAACTTTACCATGCTTTTCCAGATATGAAATATGGAAGACAAGTTATTGTTTACTTGAAAACAACTTCCAATTTATGTAAGCCACATTTTTAATGTTTCATTTAAAAATTTGAGCACTCATGTCAAGGAATCTAGAACTCTGTCTCCTTTTAATAAAAACAGAAAAAGCTAAATATTTACAAACAATAAATGTATCCATGACATTTTTATTGCTATAACATGCTTATACTCCATGTGAGGCACAAACACCTTTGTTTATTATTACAGAACCTTCTGATTATGGTCATTTGCAAGAAAAAAACAACACTTGTGCATTATTTCAAAATTTAACTTCCACATGGATTTCTATAATATAGGAATGATTGGTTTTATCAACATTACAATATATTTAATTTCCGTGCCTTATCCTTCTGAAACCAAGATATCTTTCATGTCACTAGTAGCTATACTTCAGTCATACTTTCAAATATATATATACACACACACACCACTAAAAACTTAAAAATGCAGGAAAATATCATTCTGGTTGTATTCTATTTGCGAGTAGAAAGAGAAATGATTAGCAACAGCCCTATTTATTTTAAACTAGGTGGGCAGAATACACTTGAAAAGAGTCAAACACCATTAACAACTCGTAGATTAAACAAAGAAAGATGCAATTAAATACTGTATAAACAGACTGACCAAATATGTAGATAAAACTGTACATATTTTCTAGATGGGCGAGAGTGTAATTGAATATTCAGTAATTAGGAAACTATCTTTTGGACTACATACACAACAGTAGAAACACGATCTTGTCTCCTTCACATTAGCATCAAGTAGAAGTTAATTTAAAATAACTTGTTCCTATTATTCCCACCAAATTAAATAAATCCAAGAGGAAGCAAGTTTTATTGGGAATATTTTTGGTACATTACAAATAGAATTACTATAACATATTACTCCATCTTTTATATTTGTACTATCTATCAGTTTTTCAATGAGCAATTGACTATGTGATTCAAAACTTTTCTGTTCTGATGAAGTAACTGATAATCTTTCATATGTTCTAAATAGGCTGTGTGTTCTACCAGTTTTATCTCATCCTACTTCAACTAATATTTTTGATTGATTCTCATACTTGAGTGTAGTAATACACTATGATATTTAAGCACTTTTACAGTTTTTATCATCTTTAAAGTAAACAGTTTTAACTCTAGAAAGGGTGAATCTTTCACCTTGATAAAAAACCTAGGTCAACAACTACTTTTCACTTACTTTTCTTATTGTTTTGAACAAAGTAGAATACATTTATATAAACAGTATTCACACAAATAACTCTTGAAACCAACACACAATCTAATGAGAGAATTATTTGTAATGATTTACTTGATATAAATATTCTATTCTCATAATTTGTAGTGTTCACATTTACTTACTAAAAAATTCTTTCAAATGTAAGCCACCTTTCTCCTATATTCCCTAAACTTCAACATATTAAGGCATCTTAACCACTGTATCAAAAATATGTCCCATTACAAATGTTCAACAATTCAGAGTACAGCTTATTTCTAAAATCACACTAGTAAACACTTTCATTTACATAGCTTATTTCAAGATACGTTTTATTTAAAAGTTATCTACATGAAAATCTAAAATATTTCTAGTTAATGATCACATTTTTTCACTTGATATCTTTAGACTTTCTCAAAAAAACATTAAATCATTGTAAAAGTGCCACTTTACTATGGAAAACACAATTTTAGTGTTTATAAAGATAAAAAAAAAACTCCAACCAAGTTCCTAGTAACTTCTCAATCATTTTACATGACATTTATCTATATGAATTCCTCAAGCCTAACCACACAATACAGTTTTGGAGTTTGCATTTTCCAGAGATCAATAAACCAAAATTAAACATGTTGATATAACCATAATCAGGAATGAGCTTCACATGATTTTATCAGTATACATATACATTATGTATATATGTGTGTACAACTATGACATGTACCAACTTCTGAAGTCTAAATTATCATCTAAGAGAAATAATATTTATTTTTACACCATCACCACTGTAATCTCCAAAAGGAGAATTTGGCATTTCTTTGAACATATCAGTGTCAAAGTAAGACTGTTCATTTGCAGAAGAATTTAAAGGTTAAGTTTCAAATGAATACCAGCCTGAAAATAGGACTGTGCATTAGCTGAATATTTCTGTGGTAAAAAAAAAAGTGTCCAATTAACACTACAAAACAGAAGCTTTGACTTCTGAAAAGATAACATGATAACTACTTTTAAAATTTCAAAAGACCATCAACATGTAAAAAAAGATAAAAATTGCTGTGCAAGAAATAAATTCTGAAGCTACAACTAGTTTTTATTTTCTTCTCTTGAAAGCTTGTAAAACACTGAAAAAGAAAACTTTTCCTTTATAAAAGTGATTGGGTCATATCTGCCTCTACTAATAACCAGCCTATGGTAGGTGATATAATGTGTGTGTGTATAAATTATACTACTAATAATTCTGTACCAAGTCAATATGAATGTAGCTGATATTGGCACAAAACACCCAGACTTCTAGCCTAAAGTAAACATATTTAGTATTTTAACATAGCTTTGATTATTTGAAACAAAGTGTTAAACAATAAATCATATTCCACTGACATTCAATCTTAAACATCATATTTATGCCATGGAAGCCAACAGATCTAAAAATGTATTTCTACCATGAACAATTTCTTTTCACAGTCAACCATAGCTAAGTGAGTTTAGCCTGCCCCTAATTCGTTGGGACTTCATATAACCCTATTTCAGTGCAAAACAAGACAAAAAATAGATTAAGTGTGGCTAGGCATCCAGGTAAAGTAACCCCAAAAATTGAGAAATATTGTAGTTTTTAGTCATGCTGGGTTTTTAACGGTTTGTTTAATTTAGGCACAGAATGATATCAATGTAAACATTAGATTTTTTCTTTTCCTATTTTTTAGACCTAAAGAATTGAAATGAAGTTCAATATGATTAGTAACATAAAAATTGTGTGTCAAAAAACACTAGATCAACTATCTGGGGGATCAGTCTAAGCATTTTATTTTAAAATGTTGATATAAATAAAATATTCAGTTAATGCTGTATGTTTTTAATTAAAAAAAAAGATTCATTATGACAACTTTTATACATTTACCAAAATGATAGTTGCAACTCAAAATTCCCAAATTCTAATTCTTGTATCATAATTTAAAACATGAATGGAAATCCCACACATTGAAACTTAATCTTCAAGAACACCAGTAAATAATTCTTCTCTCCCAACAAAATGATGTTTTCTTAGTAACATTTCAAGTTTTTTTCGTGCTTTACGCTCTTCTTCTAGTCCTTTAGATAAAGCACTTGTTTCCTGAAAAACCAAGTTATTTTATTCACCTTTGATAGTTCAGTCCAAGAACAAAATTATATGATACCAGATATCTTATGTTGTTTGACATATCTGAAAACAAAATTTCTGCTCCAATCCAGCAAACTCAATATAATAAAATATTTGGTCACCAACTATCATTATAGTATTGTCATAGATTCAAACTACTACTTTCACCTTTCTTTAACTACATATAGAATATATCTTTAACTGCCTGTAGTTAATCATAACTATGTTGATAAGATATCTCAAGATCAAACTTTTTCTAATCCTTTTTCAAAGGTAAAGGTTACATACTGCAACTAGTTATAAGCTGGCACGTACAGTTTTCTGTACTGGACATTCATGGAAGGTAGGCTATTGAAACAGGTGATAAAGTATTATATGTAGAAGTTACTGAAGTATATAACCTAATGAATTATGGGATACCAAATAAGGTTTTGATTTCAGTATAAAACTGCAATATTTCAATGATTCTGTTTCTTCATTCTGGTCTTGTTCAGTTCTTGTATTTGACTCCAGCAGCCAGACAGAAGTTACACTGAATCGAAGTTTGACCAGTTTGATAACATAAACAATGTGGTATAAATATAAGATGTTATGTTTTCAAGTTCGTTTACTTTTCTTTTTTTGTGTCCATGTTTGATTTATTCTTTGCATAACAGTCCCAAACATGCATTTAGCAGATCTTTTGATTGCTTGGTGAATACCACAGTATTGCAAAAAGTATACTTCTGAATTCTCACACATCCAAGAATAAACATTCTTAAAAGTGAAACAATGATGGAAGATAAACAAGAGTACTTCAACAGCTTTACATTTCAATTTTCTGCTCTCTGTTTATATTTCATTGTGTATTACATTATGTAAATTAAGAGTGATTTTTACTAACCTTTTTTAAATGCATGTTTGAATTAGTACCTCTTACATCTTAAATGATACAGTATATGGACAATTAACTTCTGATAAAGTTAAAAAAAATCTATCTAGTTCTAACAGACTTGCTTGTACAGAATTTGTAATATACAAATTTAATTTTTAAAGTTGAAGTTTGAGATACAAAATTGCTTGAATTTAACACTTAAAGTTGTGTGTGTGTGTTTTTTTTCGTTGTTAATTTCATTCGATTATTAAAGGAAAGCAACAGTATGGAAAAGACTATATTCCAGGGTTTTAAATGATAATAAAAAAATAAGTAAAATTGAGAATGTCACAATACAAGAATAATTGAAATTCTTACAGCTTTTAATTCCTTTACTTGATCTTTCAAAGCATATACTGTATCAACAAGGCTCCTGTAAAAAAAGTGGGAAAAAAAAACAAGTTTAGGCAGGCATAGAAAACCTTGAACAAACTGTTATTCTACATAATTCTTTATAAGTATAAATATTGTCTACAGCAAATTTATCTACTTCAGTACATTTTAATAGTAAAAAAAAAATTCCTATAATTTTGTTTTTGTTAAACTACAAAAACATTGTTTGTATAATACAGATCCAGTTGAGCTGATGAATATGTGAAGTTACTAATAAGATCTAAGTATGCTTCTGGACTAGATAAGGAAGCTGAGTTTCTATACCAATCTACAATCTTTCATTACAAAAATGTTGGAGGTTTACTGGTAACTTAAATTTTCTTCCTTTTTACCAAAATATGACAAATATTGAAACTCACATACAGTAATCAAGACATCTCTTTTTTTTTTGTAATATCTTTGTTAATATATTGATCGCTGACCAACGAATAAGCTACAACTAGATAGTTTTTTCAGTTGACAAACATTTTTTTTGAAGTTGAGGTAGCACACTGAATACATTTGAGAAGATAAAACTTGTTCATATATTTTAGCAGTGACAATCTTTCTAGATGTGATAGGACTATTAATTACAACATACTACGATCCTATTACAAGTTTCTTGACATCACTAGCAAATCCAGTTAAACGATATTTTCTGTAGCTATGCCCATTTAAACATATCACACAAGAAGTAAAATATTATATCTTACCTATAGTAATAACAACATTTACTATTATTACTAAAAAGTTCTAAATCAGTACATAAGTTACAACTATACAGTGTCCTTATCAATAACAGTTTCTTCCAGCAATAAAGTTAGGGCTATAATTACAATGCACTCAAAAAAAGAAGAAGGTCTTACTTTTCTTCTACTACTGTAGTTGTGCCATTCGTTTCTTCTACTATTATCTTCTCTTCTTCAGCAATCAACACCTGAGGGCTATCCAGCAAAACTGTGGAGACACAAATCTCATTGGTACGTAGTCAATTAAACTAACTTTTACCTGAGTTAGTATTAGTAAGTCCCCACAAACAGTTCATAATCAAGCAAAAACAACTTTCAACCAGTCTAACCAACCTACAAAGCAATGAGACAGCTTATGAGTTTGATTTACAACTGTTGTGCATATACGTACATGCACAATCATAAACAAAACATCAGTAAGAATTGTTTTGCACTTAAAATGACAAGTTATAAAGACCACATCATTGTAAAAGCTTACTTTATTAAAGTTCATAAACTGGAAAAACAAAAGTTACTAGAAAAAATATTGAATTATCATATGGATTTCACCAAATACTAAAGTTGCCTTTTGTAATTGTATCAAGCAGAAGTATACAAACATTTCATGATAAATGCTTCATAAAAGTTTAAGTTTGGAAAAAGCCTCTTCTGAATGTCCATACACACATAATGATAGAAGTTTTGAAACAAACTGAAAGTATCAGTTCCTTTTACGAGGAACAACTTGCTGTACAGATAAGAAACTACGTGCCAAACAAGCCTATTAGCATATGCTAAGAAGAAGGCACATGACAAAACATTGATACTAGAAACACAGCTCAAATTTCGACAATCATTTGACAGCACAAACCTAGAAAAGTAATTTACACTACTGTTTCTCAAATTACTGTAAATTTCTAAACAAAAATTATAGTATCAACTTTTGGACTGTTATAAATGCATGGCAAAATTCAAATTAATAAGGAATGTAATAAAGATATTCTGTCATTTAAAAGCAAATCACAACACACAAACATCGGGCCTTTTCCTTTCGATCAGTTTTTGAAATAACAAGTAATGTGACATTTCATTTTAAAAACAACTGACTGTTGATAACAAAATGATGGTTGGAAGCATTTGAAATGAGGTGTAATAGATAAATGATGAAGAATATCTATGTAGAAGTATCTGAAGAAGTAAAAACAAAAAAGACAACTACTGGACGTATGTAAGAAACAGAAGTTAGTCTACCTTGGGCATATCATTAGATTTGATCAAAGACTGGCAGAGATTTTGATGGGTAAAATCAAAGGGAAAGGGAAACAGATACCAGATTTGTTTGATGATGTTAGAAAATGGATTGGAGATGGGAAACTTGAATAAGTTGTAAGCAGTGAGGAACATAAAACAATAGAAAACCACAGTCACCGAACCTTGGAATTGGACACCATAACTGATTGGTTGTGCTGATATTTTGTGTTAAAAAATTGTTGTTAACACTGGTTTTCTGTATCATCTTAGCTTAACAATGCAAAAAAAACTGTAAAGCTGAAATTATTAAAAACTCATACTAAAACCACTTTTATCTACTTTGCTCCATGAAGAATGTTTAGAAACGAAATAAAAATAAAGCGTTTTCTTTACTCACAAAAACAAAGTTAAAACTATACCACCCAACAGTGCTGTATTTGTTTTGAGAAAGTTAATTACAATTCAGTGTTGCTTTCTGAAAATATACCAAATCACACTAAAGAGCATATTGCAAACTCCAATAACTATCTACTGATAATTATGCATGCAAATATTCACAAACAGTAAAAAATATTTTTTAAGGTAAAACCTTCAATTACTACACCAAAGAACAGATAACCATCCACTATAATGATATTTGACAGACATAACTTTACAATCATATTATAAAAAAAAACTTAATAATTCATTGTTCATATCATGTGTCAATAGAAATTCATCAAATCAACTAACAAAAATCCAAGTCAACAATTAAATGTGTTCATTTATAATCACGATCACAAAAACCCCACAATCATGTTTAGAAATTCAGAAAACTCTAGATTCTGTTTAAGACAATACTAAAAATCATTAAATACTTTTTGATCATATAATTATCTCTCAGATTTATTCAATAGTACACAACTTTTTCTCATAATTCTACCTAATTAACACCACTATGTCTTGTAATATGGTTATAAAGAATAATAAAAACTTCAGAATGTACTTACTTCAGACTAGTAGAAAAATAAAGATCTTCAAAATAAGTATTGTACTTGATGGTAGACAATAAAATGTTGAATTTTTATTTATATAAGAATATTAGATCTAATCTATGATCAAATATACTGAGTTAGATATTATCAATAGATACAATAACAAAGAGTGACTGACCAATATTATGTTAAAATATACCAATAACTGGTATAGCTGAGTAGTATGATTTGTGTGAATATGAAGGTTTTGAGGTAAAAGAAAATAAGGGGGCATGATTTTCCCTGACTTTTTCTCAGGTTTTATAATTTTTCAGTTTCTTCCAATTCTTCAAAGTTTTTAGCCACCTTATTATATACATATATTTGTAACTTCAGCAAAAATAACCGTAACCATGTGTAATTTTTTTTAAATACCCAATACTATAAAATTACAAGTTATACAAATATGTTTTACTATACTGTTCTATTCTTATTTCTTTTAAAAACTGAGTTACAGTTCCGGACTGGTACTATAGAAAAGTTTAATTACTGTTCAATAATTATAACACAAACAAAACCTACTAGCTAAATTCAAAACAGTCAAATATATATTTTATTGAAAGGATATACAAGCACATTGTAACTTAAAGATTAACTCTTACTTTCAGAAAAGAACTACCAAATGTAAAACAGGTGTTACACATGAATAAAAAGCAGATCTAACAGAATCCATAAAAGAAAACATTAAACACATATAAGATCTTTGGTGTGTATTTTTATGTTGATATTTATCCTTATATGAAACGTAAATTACATTAACCTCAGTCCATATGTGTTTGAGGAATTTAGTGAACAATACTAACTGATAGTGATGTTAGCTGGTTTTTTGTTGTTTTTCTAAATTACAGGAGTTAGAAAAGGAATGTACTAAGTAATATAATTATGGTACGGAACTTAAAGTTTTAAAATTAATTATTTACATATACACACACACACACACACACACAGACATACATACATGTCTCTGATAGTTAAAATTAACAGGCAAACTGTAAAACATGCATCAACCATATAAGTGTGAGCAAACCATAAATAAAACAATACACAAAACCAAACATTGAAGACTAAAGGGTTAAGTTTTAGCTAATTATCACACTAAATATTGTGACAAAGTCATACAATCTATAAAGAAGTAAGTTTGTATAGTTAATGCTGTGGACTTTTAATTTACAAAACAAAGCATGTATTTTAAAATGATCTAGTAAGCCCCATGAAAATTATTTAGCTCTTTTTATCAACAGGTTTTTAATTTTGATAATGCCGGATACAAGTTTTCAATAAATCAGCCAAGAAAAGCTAAAGAATACACCTAAGATGTGTAAGTCCTCTGGTGTATGTCTGTCAAATCATCAACAACTGTTATCTAGTTGTACTAATTTTAACAATGATTTCGAAGAAAAACAGTAATTCAAAACATTTTAAAATAAAAATTTATATTAATAACATTTCTTTATTCATAAAAAGAAAAATTTACAGTTTTGAAATGTGACTGGCTGAAAGTAAACCTACACATATAGTCAAGTTCACTTGTAATCAACATCATAGCCAATTATAGCATATACAAACTTTAAATAATCACTTCATCATTAAAAAAAAAGTGCACAAAGTAAAAAGCATGTATGCATGTGTCGAAAATCTAACATCCAAAACACTAGTAGTTAAAAAACTAATTTAATTTAATTCAAGCTTGTCCTGTACATAAAATGCAATTCTAATAATTAAAAGAAATTGCTATTAATACCAAATTATCTTAATTATGATTTTTATTCTACCACTATTTCTAAATCCAAAAATATGATCAGTTGACAGTATTGAATGCAATATGTTGAGAAGGAAAGTTTAGAAACTTGTAATCAAAATAACATTCTTAGAAAAATATATCAACTATTTACATCACCATGGATAAAAGTAATTTTTGAAATTTGAAATTATATCAAGTTTGTAGAGAAAATAACTTATAAGTAAATAACTGCCTTCATCAAATTTCCTGTAAGTCTTACAATAGTAAATGAGAGATAACCCTAGATCTATAAAGTTGTTGAAGAATTAGCTTAGCAATTCAAAATAAAATAATGCATATAATTGATCCGGAACATATAGGCCTATCTTGGGACCAGAGGCATCGCTAGGTGCTTAAAGGATTCAGGGCTCAGTTCCACAAGCGCAGAACTTTTTGACGTTTCAGTACGATACAGATCATGGTTTTCTATTCTGATTTTTTAAGACACCAACTGGGGATTCAGGACACGGGCCCTGTATGCCAGTGTCTAGCAATGCCTCTGCTTGGGACCATGTAAGTATACTAATACAATTTTTTTATTACTATTATTATTATAAGAATAACATATGATAGTCAAACAGATAAATCACAAAGCAAGAAACCAAATAACCCAAACAATTTTGGAAGTAAACCTTCTGAAATCACTTAGATTATTGGATTTCATGAAATATTACTTTTGTCCATTACTTTTACAAAACAAAAAATGGTATATTATCATTAACACATCCCTAATTATACAATAATAAAAATGACAAGAGTCTAAACTTTACCATTGTCAAAACTTCAAATAAATAGCAGGTAACCTATTAAATTTTGTATCCACTTCATAAATTCAGCATTTATACAGTGCATACATGTGCAAAGAAATGCTTGGTTTTAAAAGAGAATGCAACAAATGCTCTTTTAAGTAATATGAATATATTTTATATTGTTACACATTGTATTACATACAAAATTGTAAGTTTTAAGTTTAATTAATTCAGAGTTCACAAATCTTCAGCTTTTTCTAATCACACACATGGTAAACACTTTTCTTCTTAAACCCCTTACAGAGAGTTTCTTTGTCTATTTAAGAAAAATTTTTAACTTTAATGTTTTACTTTAACCCATTCTGGGCTGTAAGGGTATCACTAAACACCCCTTAATTTTGTTTTTCTATCATTTTTTATGCTGTGGAATTTCCAAAGTTTTGTTATGAGACACCATTTTGAAAAGAAAAAAAACGTTAAAAATTTCTTCCTTTTGTTTCAGAATTTTGAATCATTAAATATTGATCAGAAAGTTCCATTTGATTTATGCAATCAGTTTCAACTTGATTGATATTCAATACCATATTTGCTTGATACTTTATTTTGATGATTGCAGTAATTTTCACTTCCAGCTACAAATCATCAAAAACATTATAGAAACTGAAAAAGATTCATCAATGACCTAGGATCTTACCTTTCAAAATGGTGTCAGGTCAGATGAGGTAACAATAGTTTTACTAACAACATTCTTTGTCAAAATCAATTTATATCTAATAAATATAGATTATTTTCAATAAATTATATGAAATTGTATTTTTGTACATTATATGAATATGATAAACTATACACAGGCATTCAATAAAAGAGGATTTCAACAACCAGAATACTCTGCCACAACCTAACATACTCTCAAAACCGATGACAAGGAACCCACTTTGAGACTAATAACAAATGAAAAATCAAGGAATCCATCTTTATTAAACAAAACAACCCTACTCTAAACCAACAACCTGGGGTGCCAAGATATTTCTTCTAAGTCGTGCGACAATATCTGGTCATGTGGCCTCGTTGTTCCATACTCTATATATTTATAGATATCTGAGTCAATGTAAACTACTTGTATCTGATGATGACAAAACCTTGTCGAAACGTTCTTTGTACATTTACTGTTATGTTAAACTTATATTAAAGTTTTTTTCATTACCCATTCAAGCTGTCTCCAAGCATTATTATACTCTCAAAACCTAGAAGACTTAACTGCTGTCTTTTCATACAAGAAAATTTCCATAGCTTTCTAACAAAAATAATTTAGCATGAAAACATTTTCAGAACAGAACAGAAACTATGAATTAATTCCCAGATTTGAGGTTTGATCCTAAGCATTCTAAACTTCCCTCTACATTCTGTTGTTTTCTGCATAAGCTAGGTCATTTTCCCACAAAACTATAAATTTCTTCTGATCCTACTTTACTCATTCTAGACTGATGTAAATAGTTTATAATCTGCTGAATCCAACAGTATTTATACTTTGCCTGTAGCTATTATTAAAGCTGACTTGTATTAGTATTTGTTCTGGTCACATGCTGTGGGATCATAAAAAGGTGGGAATGAGAGGCAATACTAATAAACATCAGAGAAAGAGAGAAAAACTACATGAGGAATAAAACTTTGAGAATTATATTTGTAACTGTATTCTTAAGTAGAACAATTTCATAGCAAATATAAACCTATGTTTTTTAATACGCAGAAAACTTTTTTTTAAATAAAAGTGTGCTGTTTACAGAAAAGGCTCTTCATGAAACAATTTTTCATTAAATTTTTAAATTTGATAAGCATGTGTTCAATTGAAACCTGAAAGGTACTCACTGGTCCAGAGAGGGTTAGTTTATTGTATTTATTATTAGTTAACTCCCATTCAATCTAATTACTCTGTAGTAGTTCATTTTTTCCGCCACTTTCCAATAATGCCAGTAAATTAAGCTTCTATGTTGTTGCCTGTTTCAATTCACCAAGAAGAGAAGCCCTTACAACAAAGTTAAACTGATTAGTCATTGAAATGTCACTTCCAAATTTGAAGGCATTAATAATAAGAAAGTATTATTTTAAATTCAAACCAAAAAAAAGATAATCCCAACCTGTCACTTACTCATATGTTGTTTATTCTTTACACTCTCTCATTGATTTAAACATTGTTTGCTAAAAGCCATAAGCAAGTGTTCCATTCCAAAAGCGGTCAAGTAGGCTTGACTTAGTGGGATAATGTTAACATACAAGTACTTGCTCCAAAAAAAATAATAATAAAAAACTACTTTAACAATATAAAAAGACTCAAGTACAAATATTTTTCTCAAGCTAACAAAACTTTAAAGTACACGTACTATTATTCACAGAATAAATACATCATTATACAAAACAAGTACATCACACTAAATCCTACATCATCATCTTACTGTCTACTTTATACATGTAACTGTAAGCTATACAAGTCTACCAAAATCAGAGTTTCCCAAAGTGGCCAATGAGACTGTACAGGAGGTGAATAAAGAACTAGTGATCGATAGGGGGTCAAAAGTGGCCCCTAGGATAAGGTTGGCCTACACAACTAACCACCCTATGCCTAGTAGCAACAGCAAGCAAATGACATTCATTCCTTTTCTCAAATCTTCCACAGTGTATAAATTCACACAGCAATGAAAATACATATTTGAAAAATAAATTTAAGATTAATTACTTGTTTTATTTTATTCTTCTTAAAAAATATTAATTTGGAGGGGGGGGGGGTCGATGACAACTTTATAAGTTCATCATGGGGTCGACAACTCAAAAAGGTTTGGGAAACCCTGACCTAAATGAACAAAAAATGCAGATTTAGTACAAACTATATCTACATAATAAAAATAAAGCCATACATATATTTCAGACAAGACTTGTTGGGTATCATTATCATATGCTTCTTAAGTTAATTTTTCTTTAAGTAAAATATTCATCACGGTACATGTGCTCAAACAGTTAATCTGCCAGCATAGTGATAATCCTACATCAATCCTGGGAAAAAACAGAAAATATACAGAATTTCTGAAAAACACAGTCCTCCTTTTCATATAAAGTATTATGCTTAGCCCCTGGTCAAGTTACAAAATTTTTTTGACTGTTTTAATGGAAAAAGTACCACAACACCAAGTGGTTGCTTGAGGTGATGAATTACCATAATCATCAGAGTCTTGGCCATTCACCCACCCACCCTGACTATGTAAAGCCATTAAATGACGAAGGTCCACTGGATGGCGTGAAAAAAAAGTAAGAGAGAAGATGTCAGCACGCCAGCAACAAAATAAACACTTTAAATTTTACTATTAAAATGTGACATCAAGCAAACTACTTGCTAGAACCTCCCTTAGAGCATTTTAGATATATCTGATCAAATAACATTCTGAACCTGTTCATAAAGTGGAACATACTAAAAGGAAACGTACTAAATAGAAACAACTCATTATAAAGAAATAAAATATTTCATTGGTCTTAGCTTGCTTATTATTCCAAAATAATAAAAAGTTATATATGAAAACAATTACTCAAAAACTTTATTCATATGAACAAATGTTTTTCTCTTCTCTTTAAGCCCAAACAGTTTAGCTGCAAAGTTAAATAAATTTATGGAAAACAATTTTAAATCAGAAAAGTTCTTAAAAGTTCTCTTTTATTGTAAGAAAGTTTACACATCTTTTTGTACTTTAAGAAATGAAAATCATATTTAGCAGTAATTCCCATCATTGTGCGAAAGATAAGCACCACCACTAATATGACAGCATATTTCTTTCCTGTTTATAAATGGTCTAACTTGTTTCTGTAGAATCAATAAATTTCAGGAAAAACATTCTCTCATCAGCATTAAAATGAAAAAAAGAAAAGAATGGAAGCCATGAAGAAAAAACTGTAAGCATAGTTAAGATATACAAACATAAATTTCACACTCAAGATTACTTAAAAGTTCCTGTAACCCTTACACTTTATTCATTTCTGAAAATGAAAAGATTTATATTTAGGCATTCCTAACTATTTCTCAACCTCTATTTACTACACATAAAAAAGGGATGCACTAGTTTATTTGCACTTCTTATTCATAAATTTAATTTTGCCTATAATCTACTATACATAATCTGTACAATTTCATCTACTTGTGAATCCTTACACCAAAAAACATAATTGCATAGAATAAAAGTTTCCTAATAAACTACAGGACAGAATCACAAATGTCTTAACATTTGCACTGTCCCATTGTTACCAAATATTCTTATTCAGACTTGTCTTGATAGGTGTAAATTTGTCCTTAAAACTGTCAAATATTTCTATTTTCATGTCCAACTAAGCAGAATTCTTAAATTCTTCCCTTTTTTTTCAACTTAAAAATATTCTTCTATTTAAAACCAGACACTATTTTCAATGTGTTCATGAATGATTGTATGTGTGATAGCTACCAGGCTAACTATATTATAAAAACATCATTTAAATAACACAGCTTGTAAACCATGAGAGAATTTCAATCTGCCCATACTGTGAAAAAATAAACCATCCCTTTGAAAACATTTTTGAAATTCTGACCACTTACCATTTTGACATACAAATATTAATCAAAGAATTGCTCATTAATAACAAGCTAATTGTAGCACAAGCTAAGTCCCCATTTTATCTCTAATGTACATAAATAGACTTTTGACATATACATATCTGTATATATTATACATACACACAGATAAATATGTGTATGTACTAATGTATCTGGCCCGGCATGGCCAGGTGGTTAGGATGCTTGACTCACAATCTGTGGGTCGTGGGTTCGAATCCCTGTCCTATCAAACATGCTCGTCCTTTCAGCCGTGGGGGCGTTATGATGTGACGGTCAATCCCACTATTCATTGTTAAAAGAGTAGCCCAAGAGTTGGTGGTGGGTGGTGATGGCTAGCTGCCTTCCCTCTAGTCTTACGTTGCTAAATTAGGGATGGCTAGCACAGATATCCCTCATGTGGCTTTGTGCAAAATTCAAAAACAAACAAACTAATGTATCTAAATTTATCCAACTGTGTGTGTTTTTGCGTGAGTGTACCACCTTTCCTGTATTACAAGCTGTAGACTTTTCTCACGTACATGTATTTTTTCTCTTACTCTATTGAATGTTGTTGACAGAATGTTCATTCTGAAACATTCATTACTATATACTAAACTATTTAATGGAACACAGTTTTTCATTAGAAGTGCTTATTTCTTCTCCATATTAGGAAATTCTGGAAGGAGTTTTTGGAGATAAAAATAAACTCACAAGAGCCACATAAGTGTATTTTTTTAATTATCACGTAGGTTTCAAAACCTTGAAACAAACAATTGCAAAATTAATAACCTGTGAAATGCTAAATAAAAATAAAAATATGGAACACAACATATAATATTATTGG